GCATACCCCAGCTCGATAGGCCATCTCTTCTATGCGCGCTGTTAGCAAGCAGGTCAAGCAGCTTGTCCTGTGACCGCGCTGGGGCGACTCTTCTTCCTGCTGCCTTTACCCGCAGGCGTCTCGCCCTCTTCCCGCTTACGCTTTGCGGGTCGAGAGCTGCCGCCCTTGGGTCGGTAGGCGGTGTCGTCGTCGCCACCACCAGTCTTGCGTCGTCCCTTGCCGGTTTCGGGGGCGGCGGAGTCTTCGTCGTCGTGGTCGCGGGGAGCGGGCGTGCCGCCGCCGCCAATGTTTGACTCGCGTTTGACCTTGGTTGCGTTGGCCTTGCTGGTCTTTGGCGCGGCAGACTTTTCGGAGAGGTTCTCGTGATGCGCCGCGTCTTTGTCTTGCAGGAAGACTTGGGGCTGGTGCTTGCGCAGCCAGTTGTAGACGCTGTCCGGGTTGCGCACGGTAAGATCCTTTTCGCTGAGCGGGGGCTGGGCGGATGCGAGGCGGACGGGGCGGCCCTGCTGGAGGGCCTGGTCGAAGCCGGGCTGCTCAAGGAGTTGGTCGGTAGCGAGGAGGTATTCGTCTTCGTGGGTGGGCGACATGTAGCCCGGCGCATGCTCGCTGAGGTCGATGCCCTCGACGGGGTGGTCGGGCAGGTCGGCGCGCGTCGTGTGGGGGACTTTGGCTTCGAGGCTGGCGAGCGACTTGAGCGTCTGCTGGATGGCTTGCGACGAGTGCAGTTGGTCAGCCCGTGTCGCGTATTCCTCGGGGGTGATGGTGTTGGCGGCCAGGTCATCTCTCAGCGTCTGCAGCTGCGCTTTCACCAATTCTGGGTCGGGGACGGCTTCGAGCGAGGGCACGGCAGTGTCGGCGGCGGAGAGGTTGCGCAGGTCGAAGCGCAGGCGCGGGTTGACGCGTGTCTGCTCGTTGAGCTCGAGGAGAATGTCGAGGATCTGGTCGTTGTTCTCCTGCAGGCGGCGGGCGGTGCCCATGGCCTTCCACTCCTGCTTGATGAGGGAGTCACTGTCGTTCATGGCCTCTTCGAACCTGATACGCATTTTACGGTATTTTCGTCTTTTATGCACATTAGCTGGGGACTGCATTTAATCCGTCGGCGCGTCATACCTCCACGAGCGCTTGACGGGCTTCTGCGTCGCATCAGGTGCATCGACGGGCGGTGCATCGTGGGCGAGAGCGTGGGGCTCCATCGGGGGCGGCGCTTCCGAGGCCATGGTGGTGAAAAGGGTGGTGGTTGGAGGGTCTTTGGCGGACGGAGGTGGTAGTGTCTGGTTCTAGAGTTGTATGGTTGCGCTCAGGGCACGGCCTCGGTGATTGCTAGGAACACGGTCTTTGGGAGCATCATGTGGACCTGCCACGCCTCCGTCTTCACGCCTGCCGACTGAGGCTTCACTCCCTCCTCCTCTGCCAACAGTTCCCTCTTCTCTGCCCGCTGCCTCGCCATATCGCTACCGTCTACACGCCTCTCTCCGCGCCAATCGCTCAACGCCAAAAGCTCGGACGCCCCGGAAGGTATTGCGTACTCAGTAAGAAGACCCTGAAAGCCCACGTCGCCGCCTTGCTCCTTTAGGACCTCACTGACATGCCATTGCCCGTGGCAGCTCTCCCATAGCCTCAGCCCGCGCACGCGATTATATATCCCCCTCTTCCACCGCCCGGCCGCCCGACGAACCCAACAATACCGCCAAACTGTCACCCATACTCCTCAATCGCACTTCTCGCCTGAGCTTTGCTGGCGACCCGCGGTCTCGCCCATCAGACTCGCCCTCGTCCTCGTCCTACTCCAAGATGTCGCTGGATGCTGCAAAAGACGCGAGGAGGCGACGTAGCAGTAGTCTTGTCTACAAAGAGCCCCCCGAGTCTCTGGAGCAGCTGAGCGACCAGTCCGCCCTGCCCAACCTCAACGCCGAATGGGTGAATGCAAAGGGTGAGCACGAGATACCGCGCATACACATCACAGGAGACAGAGATGCTGTGTTGCTATTCTATATCTCAGGCTAACACCTCCAGGGGCCTGGGCTATCCACTTCGTCCTCATCTTCTTCGGCAAGATTCTATTCGACATCATCCCCGGCATGTCGCAAGAAGCATCATGGACCCTCGTCAATCTTTCGTACGTGGCGGGATCCTACCTCATGTTCCACTACGTGCGCGGTGTGCCCTTTGACTTCAACTCGGGCGCCTACGACAACTTGAACATGTGGGAACAGATTGACAACGGCGAACAATACACACCAGCCAAGAAGTTTCTTCTCAGCGTACCCATTGTGCTATTTCTTGTCAGCACGCACTACACGAATTACAATCTGACGTATTTCCTCATCAACTGCTTTGCGACCATAGCAGTCGTCATTCCAAAGCTCCCCTCGGTATGCACCCCAATACTCTTCAGACGAAGCATTACTAACTTCCCCAGCTCCACAGAATACGATTCGCTTTCTTCAACAACCCACCGGACGACGCATAGCCGACAATGCCCATAATCACAACCATTGGTTTCACTGTAATTTGCATGTATTTTTAATAGCAGGCGCCTGGCATGGCCAGATTGAGTAGCATCACCGCGTGGGAGCGGCGTTGGGCATATCCATATTCAAGGGAGGCGCTGGATTCACAAAAGTAGAGGAATTGATTCCAAGATTACCTCGCGTGCTCACGTGGAGATAGTGGCTTGGATTAGCTGCATATATCGCATTCGGGACTGGTGCATACACATGATAGGGCGATAATTCTCCGCAAACATGCACTCGCACGGCATCTCTACTGTTCTTCCTCTACTGCTCTTTCTGAACGTCCATTACACCCAACCTTGGAATGCTTGGTAGTGTGGTTCAACATGCAAGGTGCCACCACTTCCGGCAACACCGGTCCGAGCGCAATGCCAAATCCAGCCAACCTTCGTCATCGATGCGCACCTCCATGCAGCGTGATCCTTCGCGCTCGACACCTGATCCAACGCGCCATTAATCCTGCACTTCAGGTCCCCCGTGATATTCGCCGCTCGAGGTTTTCGTGCGTGAATCTCCGCTGTCTTTCCAGCGCGCGCTTTCCTTGCGGTGTTCCAGAGTTCGCCATTTACCTTCGACGTCACGGCGATCATAGAACGCCTACTCTCGCCCAAGCTTCGCAGAGACTTCAACTCACTCACCACAATTGCACGCGTGCCTCTAACCAACAGTAAAGCATCATGGTCTGGTCTCAACTCGAGCCCACGGGGCCGCACGTTACTTACGTGACCCTAACTTTCTTTCTCATCTTGTACGCGCTGTTCTCGCTTATGATCCGGAACCGCCTGCATCTCTCAGAACCGCCTTTAGCTACGCTTTTTGGTATCGTAAGTACGGACATCTTTAAGAATGAATCTTTTCCTAACGAGACCGACAGATCGTCGGACCACGCGCTCTCAACCTCCTCAGGCCATATGAATGGGGCTTTTCCGTAAGTGTGCTCCTCATACAAACAAACAATACTAACCGTCGCAGGATGAAATTATCCAAGAACTGACGCGTCTCATCGTCGGGATTCAGTGCTTCGTGGTCGGTCTGGAGCTTCCCGCAGGCTATCTCCAAAAGAAATGGCGCGCCTTGCTTGTTCTTCTCGGGCCTGTCATGACGTTCGGCTGGCTGATGTGCGGAATGCTAATCATGTTCCTGTTCGACACAGACTTCCAGACTGCTTTGACGATATCGGCCTGTCTCACACCCACGGATCCTGTTCTCGCGGCGTCCGTTCTGTCAAACAGCCAGTTTAGCACCCGAGTACCCAAGCGGATTAGGGACTTGTTGAGCGCGGAGAGTGGTTGCAACGACGGCATATCCTTCCCGTTCTTGTACCTGGGGTTGAGTCTTCTTTTGAAGAACACTGCTAAGGGATTCTTCACGAAATGGTTCCTTGTCACGATACTGTACCAGTGCGTGGTAGGCGTTCTTCTCGGTATCGCTCTGGGATACATCTTCAACGGCCTCTACAGGTTCTCGCACAGCCGCGAGTGGATGGGCCGAGCCTCCTACCTCGCCTTCTACCTCCTCCTGGCCATCTTCTCTATCGGACTGGCATCGGTTCTTGGAGTTGACGACTTCCTAGTGGCCTTTTTCGCAGGACGTGGTTTCGCGCATAACCAGAAGAACCCGACTGAAGGAACCGCTCTACCCGTCATCATCGACTTGCTGATCAACTCGGCCTTCTTCATCTTCTTCGGTGCAATGATACCCTGGGCGAGCTTCAACGCCGTGGACGGAATTACTCCTCTCCGATTGGTTGCTCTACTCGCACTCATCCTACTCTTCCGCAGAATTCCGATCGTTTTCACGCTTTTCAAGACGAAGATGTTGCCATCCGTAAAGACCACAACCGAAGCCCTCTTTGTCGGCCATTTCGGACCAATGGGTGTCGGGGCCCTCTTCCTCGCCATCGAAGCCCGCGCTCAGCTCGAGACTGGTACATCCCTGCCATTGCCACATCCGCCTAAGGATCTGCCTGTTGAGCGACAACGGACAGCTACTATGATTTGGCCCCTTGTTTGCTTCATTGTGCTCGGAAGTACCATGATCCATGGCTTTAGTACTCTGGCTGTCAGTATCGGAGGCCATCTCGCGCGTCACGAGGGTGAGAGGGCTCCTTTAATCGGTGCTGAAACGGAAGGACTACATGGCATGATCCACAACGACAGTGAGGCCGAGGACGAACAGGAATAGTACAATGTTGTGCTCGGACGAAGACCGTTTGGCATGGGATGAACGTTGGAGCTTGGTCTGATCCAAGCTTGGACGCCAGCACGACACTGAGAAGAACGTCAGTGAGAGGAAGACGATGCTACCATTGGACTGTTGTCTCTGGGGATCAGGTCTTCTTAATTCACAGTGTCTGGACGAATACATGAAGTACGACATACGTCGACAATGTCACCCTGCATACAGTGTGCGCAAGATATGTATATGTTTACTTTGAGTGTATTTGATAACTTCAATTCACCCGCTATCATAGCAGTCAGTTGCGTGATGGCCATTTCGACCGAGGTTCTCGCAATTCCCAGACCGTCTACCGCGCTCGATTCCACTAACAGCTCAGTATCGACCACTGCGTCTGAAGTAGAGCTTGAGATTAGCCATCCTTCTCCAAGCCTAAGTATCAACAATACAGCTAATGAAGCACTAGACGACCTAGCTGACCTCCCACCTCTCCCCTCTCTAACCCACGATGAAATCGAAGATCTAGATCCAACATATCCAGACTACCGCGCAACAATCCATTACTACACCCTCTCCCCCAGCGGCACACTAACCCAAGAAACGCACCCCACCCCCGTATCCCGTACATCTGTCCTCCTCTCCCTAGAATACTTCTACACTCTGCGCGAACACCTAACCGCTAGCATATCCATCTTGGAAACGTACCCAGGGACTTCGCTGGTAGGTGTAAACGACACAGAGGCGACCCCTTCAAACGTCCCGTGGGAAGACACTGTCACCGGCGTAGTAGCCCCCAATGCACACACCCAAAGCGACTCGCGCAGAGACTCCAGATCCGAGCGCGAAGCCTTGGATACTACAATACGCAAGTCTCCTTCCTTCACGGAGTTGGAAAGAGTCCAGAATGAGTTTGCCATGCACCACATCGCCATTAACGAAAACCTCCGCGCTGCGAATAGTGGCTGGGCGTGTCAGTCTTTTGGCCTACCGGATCCCATGGGCGCGGCGAGTGATATTAGACATGATAGGAACTATTTCGCGCATATATTCCCTACCCCGACTGGTAAGGGTATTCAGTTCGAGTGGGCGGTTAAGAGAAAGGCGGAAGAGTATGGGAAACTGTTGGGGTTTGTGGAGGACGGTATTTGTGTTCTTCAGGCTCAGCTGGATGATCCGGGGATATGGGTTTCGTTGGAGAGTATAGAGAGGGAGAGGGTGGAGAGGGAGGCGCGGGAAGAGGAGGAGAGGCTGGGTAGGGAGGGTGCGGAGCAGGACGACGATGAAGAGGGTGTGTACGAGCAAGAAGACGATGTGGAGTGCATAGAGCCGACACAGTCGACGTTCTCGCGTGTTTTCAACGGCCTGGGCGGCAACGCAGTCGCCCGGTATTGCTTTCTTTTCGGCGTCGTGCGTAACGCTGGGTCGAGATTGTGGGCCTGGTTGGGTGAGATGTTGGAGGAGGCTGACGCTGTTGCTCTACGCAGGGCTGGAGAAGGGGTACCTGGGGATTGTGGAGAAGGAGATGACTGGGCGAGTCGAGAGGACAGGATTGGAGATGACGAGTGCAGGAGTCAAGAGTACAAGACCGAAGACGGCGACTGCAGGAGTCAAGAGTACGAGGTTGGAGATGACGAGTGCCATGGAAGTCGTACGCTAGACGCGCAACCGTCACGGCCGGATAGCGGCTGGGGTGACCCGCAATGGTAGGAGCGAGGCGGCTCGAGAGTGTGGGGTAGAGCAGGACTGGAGGAGTCAGGGGTACAAAATTGGAGATGACCAGTGTAATAGAAGTCTGGATCTTGACGCGCTTCTGTCACAGCCATGTAGTGGTTGCAGTGGCCCGCAATCGCAGGATGGAGGTGGTTCGAGCGCGTCCTCCAACTCTCCGCCAACACTGAGCTCGGGTCCTTGTAAGTGCACGTATACCACACCACGCGACTGATCGGTAGTATAAAAACGGCACGCTTAGTTTGCCATGTCTACTATGGTATCCTTACACTTAAAAAACCCATTTATTTCCAGTCAGCGTCATGGCTGGTACCTCTCGCTTTGGGCATAGCCATGTTACCCAGAATCATCCTACATGATCCAGTAACAGTCACTCTCTCACACACTCCGTAGATCGAGTCACTCGCTTCTAGAGACATCTGACTCAGGCGCAGTATAAAAGCTGCTCTCAATATGGGTGTATGCTACTTCACTCTACAACACATTCGAAGACGAGCAACGAGCACGTCACCACTAAGAATTATTATCCCAGATCTTTTCAAATTCCTGTGTCTCGATTCTACCCGAGATGGCCGTCCTCACACGCGCCCAAATCCAAGCAATACTCCTTCGCCTCCAGACCAACGTCAATACCACAGTTACCTTGGCTGATATCATAACTGATATCAACGCTTCTGCACCAAACAGTCACTTATTGCATTTAACACAGCAACCAAACGGCAGTTATATACTCAGTCCCCGGTCCGGCTTTCACACTATGGTCGGTGCGTGTAACCATGAGCTGAGAAACGGTTTCAGTTCTGCACATTGCGAGGCGTGCCCATCCCAGCACAACTAGCAAAAGCTGATTATTGTCGATTATATAGGCTATTACAGAGACAACTGGCCTGATTTCTGGATTGGGCTGCATCAGACTCCGATTCCGCAGGTTTTGAGCAATAGGAATATTCCTGATCAGAGGACTACCGCGGCGCCTACCGCGGCGTCTACTTCTGCGTCTGGCTCCGGCCCTGCCACTACTTCCACCTCGGGGCCTACCTCGTCGTCTACTTAGACGAGTCGTGTGGCCGAAGACCCGGAGCTCGAAATTGGGAGGGAAGACGGCTTGACGATACCTTTATTGCTATAGGGTGTGGGGAGACTGAAGATGGTAATGGAACAACCTCTTTCCTTTCTCGTGATGGACTGGTAATTGGGCTATACTAAAGTGGTGGAGTCTACTCTCGTTCAATACCAAACACGACTCGCACAAACAATGGTTCCTTGCACGATAAGTGATTCTTGCTCACCTCGGAATTTCACTTATTCAATCTTGACAGCAGACTGACAAGAAGTGGGAAGGCGCACAGTGGTAGGCTTCAAGTGCCGAGAGGGCGCAATGAACTCGCTGAACACTACTAGAGGAGAAGTACAGTTGGTGCCCATCAGCTGCTATCTCGTTTACGATCGATTTCTTTCTTTGTACCCATGAAAAGCACTTGCCATATAAAGGTAGCGTTTCTCGTGAATAAATCTAGCTATTATCTTTTGTCTCTTAGATCTTTCTCTCCAAAAGATATCTCGTTCAGGCGCTCGCATTTCACTGGCCTATTGCTTTCAGACCTGTAGTCTTCTGATCAGATCTATCAATGATTCTACGCTCAGATCGTGGCACGAGCATCTACACAATGACACGCGACTTTGAACTTGAAGGTAGTACACACCTTTTTGCTCACGCGCTACTTGTTGTTATTGTCAAGACATGGCTAACTATTGTTTCCTTGCGCATAGCCGCACTATTCAGAACCCTCCTTCCACAAGACTCAGCCACGTGCAGTCACTCTCACTCACCTCGAATTTCCACATACTCACTCTTGAGGCATCTCCCTCCCTCCCAATATATAAACAAGCCATCAGAAACCATTTATCCCTCTTCCCTGAACACCCCACCTTCAAGATCAAGAAATACAGCCCAACATCATCAATCCTCTTCCCACCCTTTACAACAAACCCAAGCATACAAATCCCAACAACAATGCCAAACGTCGCTTCAGATCTGATCCCCACCAAGGCCGGCCACCTCCCCGGAATCCTCACGTTCCTCAAGTCCGGTAACCAGGTTACCTTGACCGACATCCGGACCATGTTCGACCAAGTCCACCCTGGCAGCGCTGCGGATCACTTTGAGCCCTTCGAAGGCGGTTACAAGCTCACGCCTCGTTCGGGCTTCGTCAATCTCATCGGTAAGTATCCTTCTGGGCTGGACAACAATGTTGGTTCTGCATGGATTTCGCACTGCTCGAAGCGCTTGTCAGACAGAGACTGACCGTGAGCTTTCTCATCACCGACAGGTCATCTTAGGGACGAATGGCCAGAGTTCTGGATCCAGATGCGCGAGCAGCCCATCCCGGAGAGCTTGAGCAACATGCAAGGACCGCCCGTTCAGTAGACGTCTTCCCACCCAGGTGGATATATGGTACGGTCAAAGACGGATTGCGACAAGGGAAGGGAAGCGAGACGGTTACTTTGACGGGATGTCGCAATATTCAACACGGCTGGAGCTATTGGTTATTGTCCGGCTGGCCTTTGATACATGTATTCACTGGTTATTGAGATAGTGTAGTCTGCACGACCAAAGTAGACATTCAATAAGAAATAAACCGTTTGCAGTAGTAGCCTCCTCGCTACGCGATAAGTGAATGTAAGTCTAATACCTTTCTGATGTATAAAACGGGCGAATTACAAGAATGATGCGAGTGTCTTGTTGATCTTACAATCTTGCAAAGATGTTGACAGGTGGCTTATTTCCTCCAGGGTGGTACGCCCGATGACCTAATGTATGCTAACCCCACCTCGCACATGACAGCGCGCACATCCCTCCACCACATCATCGCAGCGTACCTAGACAAGTAGGGCTTTCAGTCATCTTAGTGTTGTATCCAGTGTCCAAGTTCTTGTTGGCCAAGGTCGATCAGGTTGGTACCTAGGTAGAATCTCCTTGGCATCGACTCAGCCACCATGAGTTTGGGATCATGTGTTATGAGGCTGTGCTGCTGCCTTGGGGTCGATAGGTAGTGTTGATTCTGAGCACATCATCACATGGAAATCCTATTCTCGGAGCGTAAGCGCTAGTCAGAGAACAACTCTTCGATCATGGCTTTTGATGAAATCTGTTTCTTATTCTATTCTTTCCTCTCTTTATCGCGCTTAGACATACGAGCTTCTCGCCCTCTTTTAGTTTCCTGCTCATCTTCTATGTAAGTTGGTAGTGCAGCTAGGTTCTTTAATCAACAGCTACTTACATCCTAACAGCATCAGACCAAATCGTCCAGTGATTACAATGATACCACCGACTGGCCTCGTCGCTGAAAGCGAGATGAAGAGAATACGAGAATGCGCAACAGAAAACGAAACCCTGGCTCGCTGCTGGGACAAACCGCATGTCGCTCTGGTATCAATGGAGTGGGCTCCGTCTGGTCTGGCCTATTCCTGGAACGGCTGGATATCCTGTAACGAGGCGAGGGGCTACTGGAAGCAAGTAGAAGCGATGCGAGTCTTGTCTGTGGAAATCACCACCCCAGCATCCCCAGCAGTATCAACTACTCAGGATCAAAGCGATGAAAGACAGAACAAAGCGCACGAGTACCGATTCTGGGTGCCGTCCAAATGGAACGGGAGACCAAACGTTGCCCAATCCAGCTTTGTATCGACCAATGAGGCCGTCGCGGGTCTCGAAAAGATGTTCCATGACTTGTCATCAACGTATCCGACAATCTGCGTCTGTTTCCATCGACCAACTTTGACACGGCAGGGTCTAGCCGACATCGGATTCAAGCTACCAAAAGGCACTATTCTTGTCGACATAATCAAGGTACTAGAGTACCAGTCCAGATTTCGAGACATGCTCCCAAAGGTCAAACGCTACGTCAATAGTCGCCTAAATGTTGACATGCGCGACAGGGTTCGTTTTGGAGAGAGATTCGACGCAAGCGACAGTGGCGCACTTGCGTCCGACTTCAATAAACACGCACCAAAATATGGCCAAACCGACGAGTGGCGTGACATCATCCGTAAGAAAGAAGACCTTCCGGCTGGTACTTTGTTGGGGATTCTTGGGCCCGAGGCAGAAGCCCACCTGCGGCAGATTAAAAAGATAGAGAAGATATACACACTAGAGAGGGATGGGCGCTGGGGAATCGACGAGGCAAAGCAAGCAAAGGAGGATTACCAGAAGCAGCTTGCTATGCTACGCCAACAGACAACTGAGTAGCTCTGAGATCCAGAGCATCACGAGGAGGGGCCATCGCGCAAGTTCTGATGCGAGAGAGTTGTTGGACTCGAATAGGTGTGAGATGGAGATGTGACACTTCCAAGGTTTTTCTCGCCTCAGGTGGGGCCGAAGTCGTTGATTGGCCGGCTTTACGCGCAGTCAGGGTCCGACGCCAACATCTTGAGAACAATTGCCCGGTGCTTCCTTTACATCACTTTATGATATCAGAAAGTCGCTGATTAGCCAGCTATACGCTTCCACCATTCAATTGATCTCACTACAAATGATCTGCGTTCGACGCGTGACACAGCCTGATGGGGAGCCGACAGCGAAGTTCAGTGTCGGCCTGATTATACAAATTAAATCTACGAAACCAAACAGTACAGAGTCTTCAACTTGTGACTGCGGCTCGTCACCCAGGCACTTCAAGGAGCGCATTTACTCCCACACAAGACTGGCCAGCACTCAGAACAATCAGGGTTCGGCTCCGGCTCATCCTTGTGGTTCTCGCAATTCGCGCTCTTGTATTCGACGACACGCTCGTAAATCATGTGTTCGGGCCCTTGGTTCTCTGCACAATCGCATTCATCTTCGTTCGAAGTTCCACCGCAGTCTTGCTCATAATGATCAAGAGCCTTCTGGTCGTCAATCAATGCGACGACGTATATGCGCTCTCTCGTATCCGCATCGAATTCTTGATACAGCACCATGTTTACGAACGGCTTGTTGA